AGCTGTCCCCATGGAGGCCTCTGCACGCTCCGTGCTGGTGTCTGTGCTGTGCCCTGCATAGCTGTCCCCATGGAGGCCTCTGCACGCTCCGTGCTGGTGTCTGTGCTGTGCCGGGCATAGCTGTCCCCATGGAGGCCTCTGCACACTCTGTGCTGGTGTCTGTGCTGTGTTCTGCATAGCTGTCCCCATGGAGGCCTCTGCACACTCCGTGCTGGTGTCTGTGCTGTGCCCTGCATAGCTGTCCCCATGGAGGCCTCTGCACACTCTGTGCTGGTGTCTGTGCTGTTCCCTGCATTGCTGTCCCCATGGAAGCCTCTGCATGCGCTGAGTTAGAGGTTGAGACACTGCAGAGGCAGAGGTGAGGGGTCCGTGACGTCCAGGCCCAGTCCTGGGAAAGGGCCGACCTGGGCGGTGGATGGATGGGCCCCTGTCCCGGGAGGTGGTGAAATTGGGCTCAGGGCGGAGATAGGCTGCAAAGTGGGTGCCACAGGTGAAGGTGAGTCAGTGAGGAGGGCCAGGGAGGGGGAGGAGGCAGCAGAGGCTGGAACATTCCAGGAGGAGAAGGAAGACCCCTGCGGCGGAGTGACTTTGCCCTCCGTTGAGCAGCAGCCCTCTAGTCTCAGAGTCTGCTCCCTGCATGGCAGAACCACCTCTGCTCATCTTAGCTTCGATCTGAGGGCTCCACAGAAGAGCCCTGCAGCTCTCTGAAGGGATCGGAGGAAGCTTCATATCGAAGTAAAATGCAGGGTTCCGGGGCTGCGGCCGCCGCCTCCGCTTGCTCTGTTTTCAGAGCTCAGCAGACACGCGCGTACCTCCCCTCTCTCCTGCAGGCCTGTGATGCACCGGAACGTCCGCTACAACTGCAGGGTCATTTTCCTCAACAGGTAGGCTCCCTGCCCCCTCCCCCAGGGGGTGACCAGTGCCTCTCCCTGGCTTTCAGCCAAGGGCTGCCAGGACCTGTGCTGGTGCCCCGGGGACCCGTTGCTGGGGGGCTGCTTCTGGAAGCACCCAGGCTTAGTGAGGGCAATGCACCTGGCAGGTATCTGGGTGCCTTTGCTTCTCTGGGTCTCAGCCACCACTGACACAGGCATCCTCAGGTATCAGAATGAGAGAGACACAGAGGGCAAGGGTGTGAGCACCCCAGTCCCTGTGGCCTAGAAGCCATTCCAGGTGAGCTGCAGTGCGGGTCCTCAGCTGCTGTTGAGGTACAACCTGCTGGAGCTTAGCTGCTTCATGGTTGACGGTCAGGGATGGATGCAGCCACGGGGACCCGGGTTGTAGACAGAAGCTGAAGCGCAGTGAAGGAGAGAGATTGGCTTCGGGCCCCATTCTCGAGCTGACTCTGCACGCATCACCCTGTCCTTTGGTGGCCGTGACCTCCAGCAGCGGCACATGTGTCTCAGGAGCCCCGTGTGCATGGCCCTGTTCTCCTGCCTGCAGGAAGATCCTGCTCATCAGACCCAAGATGGCCTTGGCCAACGAGGCCAACTACCACGAGCTGCGCTGGTTCACCCCGTGGTCGAGGAGTCGGTGAGTCGGGGCCCGACGGCCCTGGGATGTGTGTTAAGCACCTTCGCCGCGCGTAGCCTCAGGTCCTGATCTGGGAGTGTTACTGGTGGAGGGTGGCCAGGTTCTTGGCATTTTGAACAAAGAATTGGACAGAAAGCACAAACAAAGCAAAACAAGAATGAAGCAATCAAAGCAGAGATTCATGGACAATGAAAGCCCAGCCAGGTGCAGTGGCTCACGCCTGTCATCCCAGCACATTGGGAGGCTCAGGTGGGTGGATCATGAGGTGAGGAGTTGGAGGCCAAGACGGTGAAACCCCGTCTCTACTAAAACAACTAAATACAAAAAAAATTCGCCAGGCATGGTGGCAGGTGCCTGTCATCCCAGCTACTCGGGAGGCCGAGGCAGGAGAATTGCTTGAACACGGGAGGCAGAGGTTGCAGTGAGCTGAGATTGCAAGACTGCAGTCCAGCCTGGGCAGCAGGGTGAGACTCTATCTCAAGAAAAGAAAAAAAGGAAAGAAAATGAAAGCCCAGTCCACAAGGTGAGAGTGGGCCGAACAAGCGGCTCAAGGGCCTGGTTCCAGAATGTTCTGGGGTTTAAATATCCTCTGGAGACCCCCCGTTGGTTCCTTGGTGTGCATCCTATGTAGATGAAGACGCTGGAGGGAAGTTACAGGGGTATTCACTTGGGGTACACACTACGCAAATAAAGAGGCTGTTTCCTGTCAGAAGTGGCTACACAGTTACTTACTTGGCCTTAGAAAGCTGGGGTTTATTGTTCGATTTACTTCTAGGAAGGCCTTAGGTTTCCTGCCCCAGGCCCTATTCTCCTTTCCCAGCAGCGTCACTGGTAGGGACTAGCCGGGGCGGATGGTGCAGGTGGTAAAGGAGTTTACCAAGACAGTTGTACGTAGAGAGGCAGATTCATTAGAGAACACGTGAAAATCCGTTTCAGGATTGCAACAGGCAGCACAGCAGAGAAGGGGCTGTCTGCAGAGGCAGGGCTGGAGGGAAGTTGTGTAGGGTTGTGCTGGACGGGCTACACTGGGGATGAGGTAGACCTACAGGGACCGAGGACAGGGAGGTCATTGTGCCTGCGGAGGTCATCGTGCCCTCAGGGTGCCCTCTCAGAACACATGTTCACGGTTGCCCCACATCTGGAGCCCCTTCCTCCTGGCTTCCTTACCTGATCAGGCCTCCCCAAGTAGGAGATGCGCAGGAACGTGGGCCAGGGTCTCCGCCCCCGGTGCCAGCCCCTTACACGTCTGATTGTTGCTGCCGATGACACTGTGGCCAGGCTCAACGCAGATCAGATGGAACTCAAAGTTCTCCATCAGGAATATGAGTCCTGTGGGGTGAAGCGCCACGTTCATCTCGTGTGATACTGAATGTCAGGTGTCACGTCTTCACGTGGTTGACATTTGGGTCATTCTTCATCACGATGGGGCGTCCACTGTGTGCATCCTCAGGCATTTACTGGCATCACTGGTCCCCCGGCAGATGCCCCCAGTTGTGACAATCAAAAATGTCCCCAGACATTACCAGATGTCCCCTGGGGGGCAAAATTGCCCAGTTGAGAAATCCTGCTCTCTATTTATGAGTTATTCCTATTTTTTTATTGTTGTTACTGTAAACGGACTCTTTAATACCACATTTTTAAGCGGTTAATATTTTTCTGTAGGAAAACTTGATTTTTATGTCGCTTTTGTCATTGACCACCTCACTAAATTCTCCTCTCGTGTCTGTTGGTTAGTCTGTTGATTTTTGTAGTTTTTCTGTTAAGCTGAACTTATGTAATATGCAACAAATTTTACTTTTCCTTCAGTATTTACACCTCTCGGTTCATTTTCTTAACGTTTGTTGGCCAGCATTTCTAGAACAATGTTCTAGATCATCTCTGGAGCAAAATTCTAGTTCTCAGCTTATCCCGTGTGACATGTCTCTCCGTAAAGCTGAGCATCAGTGTGTGGGGAAACTGAGACACCCCGATGGTTGGAGAGCCCAGCCCACCACGGTGTCACGGCGTCTCATCAAGTCACCCTCACGCTCTCCTTTTTGTCTTAACGTGATTGTTTATTGCACTGGGGGAACACGTGGCAGGGCCTTTGCCAGTTCGTCCATTTGGAGGGTTCAGTTTGATTTTTGTTTGGATGTGGCTGCCATGCCTCGTTTGTCCTGAGATGCTCCTCCTCAGATCCTGGTGTTTTCCTCTCCAGGCACACAGAGGAGTACTTTCTGCCTCGGATGATACGGGACCTGACGACGCAGGCAAGTCCCTGGGTGTGGAGCCCATTTTTCAGTCAGTCATGGCTGTTCTCAGCCAACAGTGGATGGGGTGGGGCGGGACTCTTTGGGATCCAGGAAACAGAAGGCACCACGGTGCAACCAGGTCCGAAACAGACCAAGGGGGCAGCTTCCTACAGTGAGGGCAGCAGCGGGGCCAGGCAGCGGCCGGGGCGGCTTCTCTTTACCTCTGGGCTGCTTTTCCACCTGAGCCTCCCTCCCTGTCCCCGCTCACACTGGCTTCCTCCTCTTTTTTGTCCCTCCTTGTGGCAGAGGATGGCCTGCTCCACCCCCAGGGACTGTGTCCCCACATTTAAGCCTTATCTAGACCCACAACAAAATGCCCTGCTTTCAATTTTGAATTCTAAGGGAAGGCACCCTGGGGTCCCCTGCTCAGCTGCTGCCCTGAGGCTGGGAGTGGGGGGTCGGGCTGCGTCACCACCCAGGGCAGCAGCTGTTCTGATGTGATCACAGGACAGGGTCGCTTCAGAAGCTGTTGGCTCCGACTGGCAGCCCCGTCAGTGTCCCCTTGGCTGCTCAGAGGACAGGCGTCCCCTTCTTCTGCACATAGACTCCTACAGATGCCCCTGCCTGGCACCACTTGTGTTCCCATGTGCGGCCGCAGGGCACCCACCTCTTCTGAAGATGTGAGAGCCCAGAGCCATGTGGCTGCGAGATGGCCATGGTCCTGGGGTAGTGCGTGGCCCAGACAGGGTGTGGCCAGCACGTCTCATGCACCCTTCCCTTCCAAATGCAGGAAACCGTGCCCTTCGGAGATGCGGTGCTGGCGACGTGGGACACCTGCATTGGAAGTGAGATCTGTGAGGAGCTCTGGACGCCCCACAGGTCAGCCCCACGCCCCCATGCTGTCCAGTCCCCAGCACACGCGGGCTGCTGGGAGGACCTGGGACTGCAGACGTCCTGGGGCCGTGGCCGTGGGCTGGGAGCTGCCGTGGGAAGTGTGAGGGGCCAGCCGGGAGGCCGAGTTGGAGGAGAGGGGTGGTCTCTTCTCTTCACCTGCCTCTGCCCACAGCCCGCACATCGACATGGGCCTGGATGGCGTGGAGATTGTCACCAACGCCTCCAGCAGCCACCATGTGCTGCGCAAAGCCGACACCAGGGTGGATCTCGTGACTATGGCCACCGCCAAGGTAGGGGTCGGTTTGGGCTGGGGAGCCGGCGCCGCGGGGCAGGCGTTGTGTCTCAAGCACTCCTGTGTCCTCAGTGCCCAACTCAGGGCTGAGCCCACACACCACGGGCACCCGGGGCTTGTAATTACGGCCTGTACTCAGCAAGCGTGCCCTGCTGCCCTCCGGGGATCCACCGGCACAGCCCATCTCACCCACACTGCCATCCCATGAAACAGACCCGGCTCCCCTCTCTGCAGTGACCAGGAACAGGGACGTGCCTTGTTTGTTGGCATCACGGCACGGCGTGGGAAATGCCACCCATACATTTGCTGATCCTGCTCTTGGCCAGTGAGGCGTGCAAGGGGCGGCGCTGGTTGGCGATTCACGGTGCAGGCGTGGGTTTAGCTAAGTCGCCTTTGAATCTGGGCTTTGTCCACGGAGCTCTCTTGGCTTGTCTGAACTTCATCGTGCCTGACGGAGGTGATGGAGCCCGCCTTGTGGGGCTGTTATGAAGCAAAAACAAATGAAACAAACATTTTATGTAAAGGCTGGTACCCAGCAAGGCTAGGCTTGCCGAAGCTTCGTGGCTCTCTGCCTCCCTGCACGTGCGCCTACTCTCTGCAGCAGTGGGGCCACTCACGATGACCTATCGGGACTGGGGGACGTTCCTGTACGTGGGCAGGTGGCAGGCAAGGCTGGTGGACCACAGCTGACCCCTCCGCTGTGGGCGCTGCCTCTTTCAGAACGGTGGGATTTACCTGCTGGCCAACCAGAAGGGCTGTGACGGGGACCGCCTGTACTACGACGGCTGTGCCATGATTGCCATGAACGGGAGCATCTTTGCACAGGGATCCCAGTTTTCTCTGGATAATGTGGTAATGAGCGGGCGTGGACCTGGCTGGGGGAGGGTTCCCTGTGCAGAGGCCGAGCCCCTGCCCTCCCTTGTAAGCCAGGTGCCTAGTGAGGGCACCTGTGGAGAAGTTGACCTCCCATCCTTGGGTCTGGGGACAGCCAAACCCCGACACATGGCCCATGGCCCTGGATGGATGAGAGTGAGGGCAGCTCTCTAGTCCTGCGTACCCACAGTCCGGGAGGAGGATGCCGTGCCACACAGGGCCACAAGGAAAGGGGCTCAGGAACCGAGGGGATGGTCCTGCTGTGGGAGGCGGACTTTATGGTAAGGAGAGGGTGGGTGCCACCTGGTCCCTGCAGGAGGGTGTAGTTGGTTGGTTTGAATTCTGAGGGCTGGCAGGGAACCAAAGCCTCTCCTTTGACAGGAGCAGGCTCCATGGCCTCTGAGACAGGGCTAGGGATGCCGTGTTTAGTTAGGGGGCCTTATCCGCGGGAGCAGAACTGGCAGGGGCTCATGGTGAGTCCGTGGGAGGACCTGTCAAGGGCACATATACTCAACCTAGGCCTTAGGCCACACTACCCCTGCATCCTGGGAAGCAGGAGTGGAGACCCCAGGACACTCTGGTCAGGGAGGCTTTGTTCTGTGGGGCTCTCTGAGCACACAGTGGCCAGCTGCGTGGGGACAGCCCTGGGGGAGCTGTGAGTTAGAGTTCGGAAGTGCCGTTGCTATCCGAAGCCACACATATATGCGCGAGTCACCAGCGCTCCCTCCCACGCGGCGCCGCCTGCCTGGCCTTTGGCCCTGATGGCCTTCTGCTCTGCTCTTGTTGGGGATGGGCATTAAAGCGGCAGATTCACCGAGGCAGGCGGTAGGTAGCACGGGAGACGGCTCTGCAGCTGGCTTTGCAGGAGCGGGGCGCGCTTGTGTCCTGGCGTCACCAACTTGGCCGGGCTCTCGGAGCAGTTTCGTTGCTTTGCTGCCCCTGCATTCCCATGGCGTGATTCTCTCTGGTGCTTTCTGCACAGCATCGGTGCGGGAGCATGGAGGTGGTTATGAAACCAAATCAGTTTCAAGTGGACTCGGTGAACTTCAGCGTGAAACAGAATTCCAAGGCCTTTTCAGGGGTCCCTTGCATAGGGCGCAGGCAAAGGTGTGGCCGTCTCGGCCCCATGCCCTGCTTTCCACGTGACAGCGTCCCCAAAAGGCCTCTTTGCTCTTCCTGGTTAACCATGATCGAGCTGGAAGGGCTTTGAGGAGAAAGGTTAAGTTCCTGCTAATGCGAAGTGTGGTCCTCTCCCTGTTGCCCACGTCAAAGCCACAGGCACGTTGGTCGTGTTGACTGGCCGGTGTATTGGGAATCACCTGCCCCAGGACCCCCGAGGGTTCCCGGCCCCACGTCAACCCCCGATCAGAGTCCTTGGGGTCTGTGTTTTTAGTGATCACCAGGAGATTGTTCCACACGCTAGAATCCGGGAGCCACTGCTTTACACGTCACTAGAATTTCTGGTGGTGCCGCATGCACCGTCCTAGGCTGCAGCCACGGGCCTGCCACGTTGAGGGTGACACTGCCGCCTTCAGGCTCAAGCCACTGCCCTCCGCCAGGTCCTCCGTGTTGCACCTTAAATGGTCAGCAGAAGCCCCGTGACGTGTGGAATCATTTTAGAGTCGTCCCTTCTGCCTCCCGCTCAAGCAACTGACCTGCCGATCCCCCTCCAGGCCACGTTTCTCAGGGTCTTCCTGATCCCCTGGGTTTTCTGGTTTGTCGTGCACTTGGAGTCCGACTGTGATGGTGAAGTCCGTTAACCTAGCTCTGGGGAGAGTGAGATGGAGCCACCTTCTCACGGAATGATCCTCGCCACGCCGTCTCCATTGCATTAAGGCTTCACACTTACCATGACTTAACGTGTGAAGGTTTGGTGGCTATCACTTTGGAAAGCAGCCAGAGAAGCAGAGGACGTGTGAACCGGTCTCCTGGTCTTCACGGCATTTCCAGCCAGGTTTGGCCCATGGTGACGGCGGCAGGAGCAAGGGGCGCGCCAGGTGGCCGCGGCTGTCCTGTGAACCGCCACGGTGGTGCCGACACTGTTCCTTCTCTCCCACACTTGCATTGAGCAAGGCAACTGTCAGAAACAATTGGTTAAAGACATTTCTTCATGAAGGAATAACCCCTATGAGTTAAAACGTCATTTCTGCGTACACTGCAATTGGTAGAAGCCCTACCATAGCCGGGTTCAAAGGCAGGGCGGAGTCACCTCCTGTAACACAGGCGGCACGTCCGGGCTGGGACCCTGGTGTGGATGCCGGGGCTGCGGCACTGCCTCTGCCGTTCCCAGTTCCACCTTCCTCTGTTGCCTCTCCTCGTGGGCACAGGGTGTTTGCAGCAGCTCCACCCACCCCATCTTCACACTGCCACGTGCAGAGGCAGCAAAGGGGCCTTGTTCTCCGTGTGTCTTTTTGATGAGAGAGGCGTTCCCAGAAGTCCCCGGCAGGGGCTCATTGACAGGGTGGCGTCTTGTGCGGTGCTGAGTGGGTCACTGGCAAGTGTCTGGATGCAGTGGAGGTTCTGGTGGTAACAGTGAGGGGGCAGGGCTGTGGTTTGGCCTCAATGTCACCTGTCCTGTCCCTGGGTCCCCAGGAATCCAGGAGTCTGAGCCCCTGCTTTAGAAGGTGCAACCACACCAGTGGCAGTGGCCAAATGACACGGGGGAGTGGAGCAGATGGGAAATCAAGGGTTGTTCTCTCTAAAATCTCCTTCCCCAGGAAGTCCTGACGGCCACGCTGGATCTGGAGGATGTCCGGAGCTACAGGGCGGAGATTTCATCTCGAAACCTGGCGGTGAGTGCTCCAGTAGACACTGCGTGGGATGCTCATTACAGGTGTGGAAAGTGGCCCCATTTGTGCAGGCGTGGAGGAGGCCGTGAGGGTGCAGTGCCTGAAAAGTCTGACGGGGATGTTCCGGACTCCTCGAGTGAGGAAAGGGCTGGTGCTGTGGACGGAACCTGCTTCCATCTGTTCCCAGTCGTCCTCTGCTGGAGCCAGGCCCTGAGCTGGGGTGAGCGGGACAGGCAGGCAGAGAGGCCGAGGAGATGGTCAGTGTGCTCGGGTCCAAGCAGCCTTGGAGGCCAGAAAGGCCTTGAGATGGCGGGTGGCAGGCGTGGTGGGGACAGGCTGTGTGTGTAGCCAAGGCTGGTCCCCACCTCGGAAGTCAGGGGCAAGGTCCACGGCGCATGCGAGCCCGTGTCTGAGTCCTGGGATGCAAGTAACGCCCCTCCTCCCGCCCGGGGTCCGCTGCTGGGAACCTGCAGCTCTGCGTTTCTGCAGAACGCCATCACAAATAGGTCATCAAACTGCGCAGCCGTCGTGAGACAGTGATTTTCTGAAGAAGTGTCATGCTCATAGCAGAGTGGACTCTTCTGCTGTTGATCAGCTGATTGAGACAGGGTCTTGTTCTGTCGCCCAGGCTGGAGTGCGGTGGTGCCATCACAGCTCACTGCAGCCTGGACCTCTGGGCTTTAAGCGATCCTCCCACCTCAGCCTCCCGAGTAGCTGAGACAACAGACACACGCCACCGTGCTCAACTGATTTTTTATTTTTGAATAGAGACAGGCTCTCACAATGTTGCCCAGGATGGTCTTGAACTCCTGGGCTTAAACAATCCTCTCGCCTCAGACTCCCAAAGTGTCAGGGTTACAGATGTGAGCCACCGTGCTCAGCCTTTTTTTCATAAGTTTTATTAAGTTGTATTTGCCATATCACCCAGTGTCTCCATGTAAGCAGCTGATCGGTGGTTTTTAGTGTACCCATGGAGTTATGCAGCCACAATCTTAGAGCATTTTCATTACCCCAGAAAGAAATTCTAGCCGTTAAGCACCGCCATGCCCCGCCTCCGGCCCTGGCAGCCACAGGTCTGTTCTCTGTGTCTATGCATTTTCCTATTCCGGACATTTCATCGGGATGAAATCACACAGTGTATGGCCTTTGGTGTCTGGCTTCCCGCACTTGCTGTGCTGTTTTCAAGGTTTATCTGTGTGTCGGTACAGTCGCCCCTCGGTATCCATGGGGATGGGATCCGGGAGCCCCCACTGACCCCCTGCAGGGATGCCCGTACCCCGCAGTCTGCCCGGCAGAACTCACTGATAAAAAGAATCGGCCCTCTGTATGTGTGGGTTTCAGATCTCGAGAATACTGTGCCTTTTATCAGTGTGCGGTTGAACCTGGGGGTTTAGAACCCGCACATACGGGGTGTGTCTGTAATTCATCCCTTTGTATTGTCAGAGTTCCGTAGCCGGGATGTTCAGTCTGCTTCTTCACTAGTCCATTGGTGGCCATTGGGAATGTTTCCACTTCCCATCACGAACAATTCTGTTGCAAACATGCATGTACTTCCGTTGGAGGGGACGTGTTTTCATTTTCTTGGGTGTGTCTGTCCAGGAGCGGAATTGACTGGGTCATATGGTAACCGTTTAGCCTTTTGAGGAGCTGCCAGGTGTTTGCCGAGAGGCGGCACCGCGGTGGGTTCCCGGCAGGCGGGGATGAGAGTCCCAGTTTCTCGCCCCCTCCAGCTCCTGTTGCCATCTGTCGTTCCACTCCTCGCCATCCTCGTGGGAGTGAGGGCGGCCTCGCTGTGGTTTTGACCTGCCTTTCCGTGGCTGATGGAGCCCTGCTTGTCTGTGGGTCCTGGGGACCTGGAGGGTTTCCGTGAAGCTGGGAGTCATTTTGTCTTCAATCTCCATTGCCAGGCCAGCAGGGCGAGCCCCTACCCCCGGGTGAAGGTGGACTTCGCCCTCTCGTGCCACGAGGACTTGCTGGCACCCGTCTCTGAGCCCATCGAGTGGAAATACCACAGCCCTGAGGAGGAGATAAGGTGTGTGGCCCCTGACTCCTGGGAGGGACCTGTTGTCCGCGTGGCCACGCCTCTGGGGTGGGGACCCCTGGAGGTCACGCAGTGGGTTTTCAGAACCTGCCCCGGTGGGGACTTGGCAGGAGTGGGCTGTGCCTCCCTGGACTGAGGGCATGGATGCCAGAGCCAGACCACCTAGGTGTGACCCCCAGCCCTGCTGCTTCCCCGTGCTGTGACTTGGGCCCCAAGGTGCCGTCCATTCTGTGGCCCGGTGTCCCCCGTTTAAAATGATGATGATTATACCTGCGTCCCTGGGTTATCTTGAGAGTCACACGCATCCCCTCACACCAGGTGCCTGAAGCAGAGTCAGGCCTCCTGAGAGCCCTGCGTCGACTCTGGCCCTGCAGCCTCCTGGGGCTGTCCAGATGGGTTGCCAGGGGTGCTGTGGGCCGGGGCCGCCGTCTGGGCTCCATGTTCTGATTGCCTTGCAGCCTTGGACCTGCCTGCTGGCTCTGGGACTTTTTAAGGCGAAGCCAACAGGTAAGATTTCCAGTTTCTAGTGAGCCCACCCTGCTTGTTCTACTGGTTGGTCTGGTTTTATTCTGGGGCAGGGCAGGGTTTTGGTTTTTTTTTTTTTTAATGCAAACAATAAAAAGCGTTTCATCACTCTGCCTCCATGGGGAGCTTAGTCTTTGCTAGCCAGAGGCAAGGTGGGCACAGCGGCTGGTGGGTCCGCTCCAGCCCTGGAGGCGTGGCAGGACCCGGTCTGATGGCGTTCAGTGTCATGCTCGCCATCGTGATCCCGAGATTCATCAGTGGAGTCAGCCTCAGACCTGCCCCACCCCCCGAAGCGTCTCTTTTCCCTCTGGAAAATCCATTCACCCTGCCATGTGTGGGCGTTTGTCCCGACCTCAGGGAAACCTCTAACACCCGCATGCATTTCCGTGGACGCCTCCTTGAGGTCTGCAGGCAGAGTTAGGCTGATCCTCGGGCGCGCTGCTTCTCCGAGGCTCTGCTCACACGTGTTTGGTTGGCTCATTCCAGGCGGGGTTTTTGCTGCCCCTGAGTGGCGGGGTGGACAGCGCGGCCACTGCCTGCCTCGTCTACTCCATGTGCTGCCAGGTCTGCGAGGCTGTGAGGAGCGGAAGTAGGTGGCATCTGTTGGCACGAGGGAGGCTCCAGGGGGCCAGCCCTCAGGCTGCCTGAGTGGGGGGATCTAGGAGGGGAAAGAGGAAACACCTGGGCCATGGACATCAGGGTGAAGGGGGCTTTGTGGCCATGCATAAATGACACAGCATCACACCCCAGTCCTGCAGCCAAGGCAGCAAGGCCCTCGGCGGCTTCCTGGGGCTTTGGGCACGTGCGGCTAAGTCCCCAGAGCTGCACCTGCCTGCTCTGTGCACGGTGTGGCTGGGTGGAAAGACGCAGGTGTGGGAGGCTCACATTCTCCCCTGCATGCTGTGGCATCAGACATCACCTTAGCGTGTGCAACAGCAGGGGGCAATGATACCCACTGGATGGAGCTATGGGCCATAGCGTGGGCTGGAGCCCCACGGGCACCTGGGGGCGTAGATGGGGATGGAGCCACACGGGCACCTGGGGGTGTAGACGGGAATGGGGCCGCACGGGCACCTGGGGGTATAGACGGGTGGAGCTGCACAGTCACCTGGGGGTGTAGATGGGGGTGGGGCCGCACGGTCACCTGGGGGTGTAGACAGGGATGGAGCCGCTCGGGCACCTGGGGGTGTAGACGGGGGTGGAGCCGCGCAGTCACCTGGGGGTGTAGACGGGGATGGAGCCGCGCGGGCACCTGGGGGTATAGACGGGTGGAGCTGCACAGTCACCTGGGGGTGTAGACGGGGGTGGAGCCGCGCGGTCACCTGGGGGTGTAGACGGGGGTGGAGCCGCGCGGTCACCTGGGGGTGTAGACGGGGGTGGAGCCGCGCGGTCACCTGGGGGTGTAGACGGGTGGAGCTGCGCAGGCCCCTGGTGACCAGAGCCTGGGGTGGAACTGTGTAGATACCCCACACACTCAGGTGACCTCTACCCATTCTGTCCTGATGGTTTTCAGATCAGGAAGTGCTGGCTGATGTCCGCACCATCGTGAACCAGAGCAGCTACACCCCCCAGGATCCCCGAGACCTCTGTGGACACATACTGACCACGTGCTACATGGCCAGCGAGAACTCCTCCCAGGAGACCTGCAGCCGGGCCAGAGAGTTGGCCCAGCAGATTGGAAGGTAGAGTTGGTCCCTGGTGTTGGGTTTGGCAGGCAGCTGACAGCTCAGAGCCGCCGGAAGCCGTGCCTGTAGCGCACTGGTGCCTGGCTTCGTTCATTCTGCATTGTGTCATCCACGATGTGGAGGAGCTGTCAGCGCTCCATCCCTTTCTGTGGGTGAATAATATTCCACTGTGTGGATAGACCCTGATTTGTTTCTCCAGGCATCAACAACTGCTTAAATGTGCAGCTGGAAGCTTCTCAGGGCTTCGCTTTCTCTTGGTTTGAGGCTGATTTCAGGGAAGCTGTGTATCAGTCCTCCCTATCTGATCCACCCCATTCTCGGACTGTGCCTACGATTTCCGCCCTTCCTCCCTCCACTCCTTGCATTCCCAGTGCCGGCTGCAGGTCGTTTGTGCTCATATGGGAGCTGGCTGTGGGCTGACTCATACCCCTCCTTCTGTCCCTTCCCCCGCCCTCACTGCCTCTTCTGCTGGGCGGTTCTCTACATGGACAGCGGAGGGAGGGCAGCTTTCCGGAGAAGGGAGACTGGGTTCCATCTAGAATGTTCCATCTACAATAGCTGTTAGGAGAAAATGAGCAGCTGCCCATCCTGTTTGTTGAGCTCAGCTAAAAGCTGTCCCCTGCCCCCAGGAATCCTCCTCTAGAGATGTACTCAGAGGAGTCAGAAGCAGGGACCCAAACAGATACTTGTTCCGGAGAGTCCATGGCAGCACCATTCGCAGAAGCCAAGAGGTAGGGTCAGCCCAAAGCCCATCCCAGATGAATGGAGAAAGAATCTGTGGTCCATTCACACAGTGGAATATTATTCACCCAGAAAAAGCAGTGGAGCATTCGCACATGACACAGTGAGGAGAAACCTCGAAGACATGGTGCGGAGTGAAAGGAGTGGAGCCACACAAAGCCATGTGGTGTTTGATTCCATTTCCATGCAGTGTCCAGAGCACGCAGCAGCACAGAGGGCACGTGTCACCCTCCGCATCTGTCACTGTCACAGCTGTCAGAGCTGGAGGAGAAGAGGGTGGGGACAGACTGCCGGTGGGATGGGGTTTCCTTCTCGGCTGATGAGACATTCTGAGCCATATGGTGGTGAGGGCTGCACAGCACTGTGGACTGCTAAACGTCACCAGTCATACACATTAAAGCGCTTACAGTGGTCAGTTTTATGTCACCAGGGCTCCACCACACATGCGCACACACACATGCACACACATGCGCACACATGCGCGCACACACACATGCGCGCACGCACATGCACACACGCGCACACACGCACGCACACGCGCACAGATGCACACATGGTCACACACATGCACATGCTGCCCTCCACGCCCCCCCTTCTCCTTCCAGCCACCACATCAGTCTCAGCATCGATCCAGCCGTGAAGGCCGTCATGGGCATCTTCAGCCTGGTGACAGGGAAGAGCCCTCTGTTTGCAGCTCACGGAGGAAGCAGCAGGGAAAACCTGGCGCTGCAGAATGTGCAGGTGCCCCGGCCTGGGCCGGCGTCCCCTGGGGATACAGGTGCAGGGAACCCCGGGATGCCTGGTATAGGATGCGCAGGTGTCCCCACCTGGGCCGTCATCTCCATGAAAGTCATGGCAAAGGGCACCCAGGGACAGCCGGTGCCGGGGTCCACAGCCTGTGTGCCTCGCTGAAGACGTCAATCATGCAGCCTTGTTAACAAGGATGGATGTGTGTGTGTGTTAGTGCCTGAGCATGTGATGTCTAAGAGCAAGAGCAGGGGTGTAAGGGTGTGCATGCTTGAGTGTGTGCAGAAGCGTGAGTGCAAGAGCAAGAGGATGTGTCTGAGCGTGAGTGTGAGCATGAGAGGGCACGTAAGTGTGAGAGTACAAGCGTGTGAGTATGCACAAGTGTGGGTGTGCTTGTGAGTGCTTGTGCACAAGCGTGTGTGCGGATGTGCAAGTTATGTGTGCACAAATGCGATTGCACAGTTGTGTGCGAGTCTGCTTGAGTGAGTGCACGTGCATGCCTGTGAGCACATGGGTGGGTGTGCATGACTGTGACAGTGTGCACGTGACTGTGTGAGTGTGTGCCTCTTGAATCCTCAGGGAACAGCCTGGATGCTGTCTGCCTCCTGGGTTACTGCACTTGACTGGATGCTCCATGATGGGCGGAGGAGCAGAGAGGCCAGGGTGGAGGTGGGGGCTCTGGCTGCTGGGATCTGTCCTGTCTCTCCCTGTCCCTTTTCTGCTGTGCATGGGTGGCCTCTGCCCTCCTGTCCATGGGAAAGGGACAGAAATGCCATTGCCAAGCTTTCTCCCAGGGAGCCCACAGCTCAGTTCTGCCACCGATGCTGCCTCTGCCCTCCCGGGCTCCGGGTGCTCCCATCTTTGAAGGCAAGGCCCCGCTGTGCTTGCATGAGCTCTGTGGAGGCGGGACCACCCGAGAAGGGCCTCGGGACGCTGTGGGACTTGGAGGCTCGGATGTTCCCAGAACGCTAGAGAGCTCCTAAGTGATTTTAATTTTCTTGTTTTCAAGAGGTTGCAGGTGTGCGTCTCCCTGTCCTCCCTTTGCAAGGTAACCCGTTATTTCCTCTGTTGTGTTGTCCAGGCTCGAATACGGATGGTCCTCGCCTATCTGTTTGCTCAGCTGAGCCTCTGGTCTCGGGGCGTCCGTGGTGGGCTCCTCGTGCTGGGGTCTGCCAACGTGGATGAGAGGTGAGTGTGGCCCAGTGGCAGGCAGTGGTGGGTGTTGGAACCTCTCAGATCTCTGAGGGTGACGCACTGTGAGATGCTGTCATCCTGTGCCTTTCATGGCGGGTTTGGGCCTGGGACAACATTCCTCTAGAATTTCACCCGACCCGAGTGGCAGAGCAGGTGGCATTGCCTTCCTGCAGGCGGCTCCTTGTGCTTACCACTCTCATCAGCCCTGTGGTCCTTCCTCTCTGCTGTGCCTCAAATTCACCTCCCCACTCTGTGCAACAGACAAGCTCCCCTCCTTCTAGGCTGTTCCTAGAATGCATCTTAAGTCATTTCTTTGCAGCTCATTTTTACCTCATTTTTTATGTGGACTGAAAATACTCCCCTTCTCATCTGCTTCTCTGTTCAACAAAACTCAGTGCCTCCCTGTTGTTTTCCAGATAAAATTCAAGCTGTTTATCAAACCCAGCAGTGGAGGCTGCTAGACAGTCTTTTCCAGCCTTGGTTTCCCCACTTCCCTTAGGTGAGCCTCTGCGCCTCTCAGCTCGTCTGTGCTGTTCTTAGTTGCTCCTTAGTAGCTGAGGAATTTCAAAAACTGTCATTCATTTGTTTGTCTATGCATCCATCTATCCATATGTCAATTCAGCTCCATCCATCCATCCATCCATCCATCCATCTATCCATCTATCCATTCATCTACCCATCTAGGCACCCACCCACCCATCTACCCACTTACCTGTCCATTCATCCACCCATCTGTCTGTCCATCCCTTTATCCATCCATCCATCCATCTACCCTCCCAGCTGTCTGTCCATCCATGCAGTCATCTACCCATCTATGACCCATCTATTCATTCATCCATCCATCCACCCACCCACCCACTCACCCATCCATTCATTTACCCATCTGTCTATTCATTAATCCCCACCCATCCTTCCACCCACTTGTCCATCCATGCATTCATCCACCCACCTACCTATCCATTCATCCACCCATGTGTCTGTCCATCCACCCATCGGTCTATCTGCTCATTCATCCACCTGTTCATTTACCATTTCATCTGTCCACCTACTCATCCATCTAGCCATCTCTCCATTTATCCATCCATCTACCTATCTGTCCACATTTCCTTCCTTCCATCTATCTGTCCCTTTCTTTTTTCTATGGTGTGAGTATCTTAATCACTCTGCATCCTTGCCTGTCTGCAGATGTGTTCTATTTTAAATCTTAGACTTTTAAATCCTATTTTAATTTTCTAATTACAGAAATTTGAAGTTAACACCCGATACTGGGTAAAAATTCTCATCCTCCCCATGCATATTTCGTTAATTGCTTTTCTGGTGCCTCTGGTGCCTTTGTAAGGGACTGAATCTTCAGAAGGGGTGTGATGGGTGGTGTATATTCTGAGCTCTGGTGTAGTTGAGGATATTGATGTTTTGTTTTTGATTGCATTGCTTTTGCAGATGAGGAAGAATTTGATCTGTTATAAAATTGTGTTGTCGCAGTTCCCTGTCACAACTCTCGTCCATCATTTTCTAGTATTTAAAATGTTAACATAGAAACAGATACTGTTCCCAGGGTGGGATTGGGTTCTGGGAGCTTGATGGCCTCTGGATCCCATTTAGAAAATAAACAAACCTAGGTAGTCACCTCTCATCCCTCAGCTGCTTGCCTTTCCCGCTACTGGACAGAAGGCTCTCTGTGGCTGCGGACACTCCCCCCGTGATGTTGTAGTGAAGCCCTTCTGTCCATTTCACATGCTGCACCTCCCTCTCCCGCCACCTTTTCACTGGTCACAGCCAGTCCTTTTCTTCCCCTCCATTCTGGGGAGAATCTCAGATGCATAGTGTTGATTTTTAAAAATTTCCCTGTAATTCTGTTGTTTAATTGCTTCTGATTCTAGGTCAGTTGCATCCCTGTCTGCTCCTCAGGGGCCTGTTGAACACCTGCCCTCCATCAGGCATTTTTCCCTGTGGCATGAGCAAGTCAGAAAAACAATTCCTGTTCTCTGCAAGTGGGAGGAAACAGTGATAGCCCAGCTGATGATGTGTGTATTGTAGGAAACGTCTGCTGAGAGAGCTCAAGGAGGGAAAGGGAGAGCTGGGAGTTTGTAAGCAGCTTGCTCAGGGAGGGCCCTGCTGAGAAGCAAGTTTCATAAAGGCCTTCAGTGCCAGGGTCCATCCCATAGACCCCAGCTGCATGACAAATGAATAAATTCACTCACACACAGAATACAGTGAGCAAGTGGTCTGTGGGGTTGCGAGCCACTCACAGAGAGAGATCCCACCTACATGATGCTGACTAGTTTGCCCTCTCCCCATTTATTCAGTATAGATTTAATAGCAGAGGTTCTAAGTCAACACACTTGTAGACTTTCTAAGCCCAAGGCAAATATCATTAGAAGGTGATCTCCCTGGTCAACCTACCCCCGAGAGGGCCGTCTGGCTCAAAGCTTTGTTTTGAGACCACTTGAGTAAACAAGTTATTCAGATAAACTTTCCCACATACCCTAGCTATTTGCTTTTCTTATTAACTAAAGGTAAAGGAGATTTAGGCTGCCTTCAGCCAAAACTTCTACTGAAACTATGCAAACTCCTTGGCCTTCCAAGAAGGTTTGGGACTATATTCTAGAACTTTCTCTAATATTTTCCCCTTAATGTTTTTGCCACCACCCTGAGTGAATTCCCACACTGCCGGAGGTGAGGGTCGGTAGAGAAGAGCCCGGTGAAGGCCTGAGTCGTGTGACTGCCCCAGGACTGAGGGCTGGTCATTGTCTCCCTGAAAGTCCTGGTCTTAAGTGGGGACCGAAAGACCTGCAGAGCTGGTTTTGGGAAGAGTGTAGTGTGGGGGTCAGGGGAGGTGTGAGAAGTCAGAGACAGTTGTTTCCGGAAATTTCACTTTCAGGGGGTGGGGAGGCACAGGGTAGGCACTGCAGAGATCAATGGGGACAGGAAGCAGAGTTTGCTATATTGTTAGAGACAAGGTCTTGCTCTGCCACCCAGGCTGGAGTGCACTGGCACTGTTACAGCTCGCTGCAGCCTCAACCTCCTGGGTTCAAGCCATCCTCCCACCTTAGTCTCCCAAGTAGCTGGGACTGCAGGTGCATACCACCAGTCTAATTTTTTTTTTGTTTCTGCTGTGCTCCCAGGCTGGTCTCCATTTGTTTTCTTGCTTTAAGATACTGTCATGAAAGGACCAGTAGAGAGTGAGTGGATTTGCTGGTGCAGGATGTTGGGGATGTTTCTGACAAGGAGATGAGAGCAGGTAACTAGGCAGGAGGGTGGCTTTGCTGGGGGCCCAGCCAGCATGTCCACAGCAGCAGGAGGGGTGGGTTCAGAGGCAGGCCTTCAAGGGCACTGCAGGGGCTGTGGCTGCTCTTCTGAATGGTTTTTTCTTCTCAGTGAAGTTAAGAGAAGGTTCCAGAGAGACCAGTAAGGGAGAGGAGAGTGAAGCCAGCCCTGCAGGGTTAAGTCAGGGTCAGCATGGGAACTGCAGAGCTGAGAGGCTGTGTTGAAGGTGGGCATCTAGCAACATGATTTCAGCTGATGGAAGTGACCGGCTTGGGGGAAAGCTCAGTGCAGGGTGCAAGAGGAGGGGCCAGCTGCTGGAACTCAGTGGTCCTCGATTGAAATTCTGTGGCCATGCCTGTTGCTGGCTTCAGAGTCTCACTAATCCACCAAATCAGTCTTGATTTCACCAGAAAAAGTCTGCCTCAGTTTTCAGCCTATAATCGTGCCTCTCATCCCCAGGGGGCCCCCACCTCCCGGTTGGGGTTTCATTCCAGCAAGACAAGGTAGCATCCTTGCCCCGTGGGTCTGCAGGTGGAGCCAAGCTCCGCGCTGCTGGGATTTCCCCGGCTGTGCTGAGTCAGCCCAGGCGGACTTCCCCCATCTTTGGCAGTCACTGGGGATGGAGGAGAAAAGGTGGTAAGATGAAGACCATCATCTCCCCTGGCTCATCTGGCCCATATCCCGGCTCCTGCTAAAGGACCCTTGGATGGGACAGGACAGAGGTGATGGGATGACTGGGGCAGCCCCCACTGAAGGCAGCACAGGGCCTCACTCATCCCTCTGTTGGGACCCTGGGGGTCTCACACCCCAGACATTGCACCATAGCGAGGGTCAGGAGGGGTGAGAAGGCGTGGAGGTGTGAGTTTGTGAGTGCTGAGAAATGTGTCTGGTGAGACAGGCAGGGCCAGCCTGGAATGGCTTGCAAGGTCAAGGGCACCGTTAAGGGGATTCAGACGGTGGAAGCGCCTGGCCTGGGCTGGTGTGGGTGGTCAGCCAGGAGCCAGGGGAGAACCTGGAGGCCTGCGCCAGCATTGGCGGCAGGGCGGGGTGAGGAGGACGGGGGTGTGGAGGGGCTGCAGGAGTTTCCCGTGGCTGCTGTAACCCATGACCACAATGTTAGTGCCTTCAACATTGTGGTCCTTCAGCTCTGTAGGACACACATCCAGTGTGGGTCCCCTGCCTCAAGTTAAGGGCTGCACATGGCTGGTTCCTTCCGGAGGCCCCGGGGAGAATCTGTTTCCTGCAGTTTCCAGGCTCTGGAGCCCCATCTTCATTGGCTCGTGACCCCTCCTCCTTCACTGCCAGCAGCCTTGCGTCTCCATCTTTCTCCTATGGTCATGGCTCCCTCTGACTCTCACCTTCCCCCCCTTCTACTTTTAAGGACCTCTATGATTGCATTTCAGGCCCACCCTGCAATCCAGTGTCACCTCCACATCTCAGGTCCCCAACCGAGTCCATCTGCAAAGTCCCTTTTTCCCTGCGAGGTGACAGAGTCACAGGTTCTGGGGATTAGGACGTGGGCATCTTTGTACGGGATGGGCTCTTCTGCCGACCACAGGCCTCAGAGTTGACGGGAAGGGGAGGGGCCCAGCTGTCCAGGCAGCAGAGTGTCTATATGTGCTGAGTTCCTGCTCACCCCCAACGCTCCAGGACTTCTGTCCCTCAGGTCCGTTCAGATGGCTGATCCCAGCTCTGTGCTGGTGACCCCCAAAACCTGCCTGCCATCCCTGGCATGTCTTCTGGTACACCCAGAGACTCTCCTGGGTCATCTGCAGCCCCTGCCACCTTTGCTGGCTGCTCTGGGGCTTCTCCAGGACCCTTGAAATTGCCTTGATTCTGGCTTCAGGGCTCCTGGAAGAAGCGACTCCGTGAGGGCCAGGGTTGATGGAGTGTTCAGCCCCTAGGGAACCCGTGCACTCTCCCTCTCCCTGCAGCCTCCTGGGCTACCTTACCAAGTATGACTGCTCCAGTGCGGATATCAACCCCATAGGCGGGATCAGCAAGACGGACCTGAGGGCCTTCGTCCATTTCTGCACCGAGCGCTTCCAGCTTCCTGCCCTGCAGAGGTGAGTGTGCTCATAGGCTGTGGTTCCACAGCCACGGGGCTCATTCCATAGCACAGCCCTGGCCACTCTGGGCCTCACTCAGGTGACTTTGCAGCTCCTGTTGCTTGCTCAACAGCCCTGCCCTTGAGCTAGCACCTGAGGCCCGTGACCAGGCCTCCCCTTCTTCCTGTGGATGCCTCAACAGCCCCCAGGCTCCAGTCAGATCAGGGAGCTGCAGCCTCCTGCCTCCCCCGCCTGCCCCGCCTCCCCCGCCTGCCCCGCCTCCCCCGCCTGCCCCGCCTCCCTTTCCCGCCATCCCCATGCTGAGGGACCAAGGTGGACGAGGCTTGCTGCATCTGAGCAGAGCGCCTGCACTTCAGCAGTGACTGCAGACGGATCAGTGCCTGGAGCCTTCCTGGCCTTTGCTCCCATGGCTCCCTGTTACGGGGATAGATGTCTCTTCTCTTTGCTCATCCTCCCTGTGGTGGCTCTGCCCCCCAGGGGACATCAGGTAGTGTCTGTGGACATGCTGAGTAGCTTTGTTACATGGGCTGTGCTGCCGGCATTAGCAGGTAGAGGCCAGGGGTGCTCCTGAGTGTCCTGCAGGGCACAGGGCACAGACATTCCCTGTAGCACGGTCTCCTCCACCTGGGTGTGGACGGCGCCCGGTGGGCTGGCCCTGTGCTGTGCCTCCATCTCTGCCTCTCCTCCTAGGGTCGTAAGGCCACAGCAGCACACATACTCCTCCACCCGGGGTACTCAGGAAACTTAGTTTGGGGATTCTCTCCCAGAGCTCGTGCAGCCTGGCAGCTTCGCTGACCGGCCTCTGTGGGTGACACCCCCCATGGGCACCAAGGGAGGACTGTCCAGACCCCAGGCACAACTAGTGCCTGAGGAATATCTTAGTTTATAGTGTTATTGCTCAGCCGTTTCCTTTATATAATCCCTCACATATAATCATATATTCGTTTGTAGAATTAGTGCCTGGAGTATAACTTTGCTTGCTATATCTATCTTATATAATCATATTTAATACCTATATTTAGCATACTTAGTTCTATATCATCTTTGTATATAATTATATAGGTATTGTAGTCGGAGCTGCACTGACACATTTAGTGCTGATTTATAGAATCCTTCCATAGAACCATATAGTAGTTTGTAGTAGGAGGAATGCCTAGAGCAGTCACAGCACAGAAGCAGTACATGGGAAAACAGCCAGACCAGGATGAGAACCAAAGACCCAGGCGGTGGCATCCCTGCCTGAAAGGGCATATGCTGTATGGCAGGCTTGGAGCAAGAGCCTCTCCTCCTGAAAAAGGAGTTGTAGCACCTTGCATCCAGTTCCTGTGGAAAGTCGGCCTCAGGCCTGAGATCCTGGAAGTAACCGAGGGAGAAGAAACCCTCTGGTGTGACCAGTCACGGTGGCTGTACACCCTGTCAGTCTTTTCTCGCTTCTGTGTGGGCTCAAATCATCCTCCCGTAAATATCTTAGAGAAGAGCACACGTCTGTCAGCTCCCACTGCACTGGCTTACAGTATCCTTCTATTAGAAACCCTTTGAAGTCTCCAGCCCCCAGGCAAGAAGTGTTGTTCGGGACACCTGCTGCCCACAGCCCACCTCCTTGCCTCGGTGACCTAATGGGGATGGACCCCTTTTCTGTACATGACCCTCTGCTACTGCACATGGCATGGCCCCCTACTGCGCATGGCCCGCCCCTCTGCCCAGGTGACATAACGGGGTGGCACCCTCACTTGTGACTCATGTGATTATGTATGCCCTATCACTAAGCCTATAGGTGATGACCTCACTTATGACCCTTCTCCCTGCTTGGACCTGATAAATACAGATGCTCTGGGGCATTTGAGGGCCGCTGCTGATCTCCGCTCACAGGTGGTGTGCCCCCCCAAGGCCAGATGCTCTTCACCAGTTCATCAGTGTTCTGTCTCTTTACCTCTTGGCTACTGTACCCCAACACAGCATAAGGGACACCCCCGACCCTGTGGGACCAACAGCTCTACTGACCTCTGTGTGTTTCCGCTGCAGCATCCTGTCGGCGCCGCCTACCGCGGAGCTGGAGCCCTTGGCTGATGGACAGGTGTCCCAGACCGACGAGGTAATGGTGGTGGCCTTGCCACGGCGCTTCTGCCCTCGTCTCCACCACTCACTCTCTGACCCACCCAGAGCGGCTTCCAGTCCCGCAAGCTCCATTCCTGGGAAGTGTCCTATGCAGGTGTCCCATTTTTTATCCTTCCTGCTGTGTTTTCACCATCCCTTTTCTACGTTTAGATACATCAGTACTTAGCGTTGTGTTAGCCCGGCCCAGAGTGTTCAGTAGAGTAACACGCTGTGCACGTGTGTAGGCTGTACGCTGCGGCCGAGGCACATAGGCGGCTAGAGCATCTGGATGCATGTAAGCGCCTTGAGGGTGTTGACACCATGCAATCGCTTGAGCACGTGTTTCTCAGAACTCATCCCCAGTAAGCCATGCACACCTGACTTTCTTTACAATCCATTGATTTCTATGAGGGCGCTAGGGTGTCTCTCTTTCTTTGCTGATTTTAGTTGTTTTCACTCTTTCTTCTTGGTCATTTTAGCTAAAGGTAAAGATTTCTCCATGTTTTTTTATCTTTCTAAGCATAACTTTTTGTTTTGTTGATTTTTTCTGCTGTCTTTCTTTACTTTCCCTCTGATCTCGGCCATTTCCTTCCCGTGCTGGCTTTGGCTTCCATTTGCCCCTCTTTTTCTGGTGTCTCAACGTGGAAAGTTAGGTTATTGATTGGAGATCTTTTTTCTTTTTTAAGATAGGTGTTTACAGCCACGAATTTCACTCCCAGCCCTGGGTTCGGTGCCTCCCACACGTTTTGATCTGTTGCGTCTTCATTTCATCCATCAAAGTACTTTCCGATTCCCTCTGTGACTTCTCCCTTGATCCACTTGTTATTTAGGAGTATCTGCGTTAATTTCCACATATCCATGAATTTCCAAACTTTCTGTGACTGAATTTCTACTTTATTCCATTGTGGTAAGAACACATACTTTGTATGATTTCAACATTTGAAGTTGCCTGAAGGCTTCTCTCGTGGTCCAGCAGGTGGTCTGACCTGGGACGTGTTCCGTGTGCCCCTGGGAGGCAGGCGGCTTCTGCCGCCGGGGGGTTCAGTGCCCTGCAGGTGTCTGCCGGCCCTCCTGGTTGACAGAGCTGTCTGTATCTTCTGTTTCCTTGTTGTGTCCATTATTGAAAGTGGGGTATTGAAGTCTCCAGTTATTACCGTTGACTTGAAGGAATTAAATGTCACACTGGAAAATGGTTACCTCCTGCAAAAGAAACCAGTCAAATAGCCACTTGTGCCCAACCTATCGGGTGCTGGGGACTCTGTGGTGAGCAAGACAGACATGGCCACCTCAGGGAAAACGCTTACAGTCCCCTGGAGAAAAGGACGAGGAGGCCCGGCTATGGCTCTGGCCGTATGGTCTGATGACAGCTCTGGGGTGTGGTAGGAACTGAGAGGGAGTCGGAGCAGCTGTTGAAAGATGGAAAGGGTCTGGGTTGTGTGAGCTTCAGGGTGACATTGGCCTCTGAGCCTGGCCGGAGGTATTCGTTGCCTGGCTCTAATACCGTTGCCTAGTGATACCAGCGGCTCCTCATGGCCTCCAGCATGGCTCCAGATTTCAGTGAGCCTCCTGCCCTGTTCTCTGAGTCCCCCACACTTCAGGGCGTGGGCTCAGGAGGACAGCAGACAGGCTCCACGTGCTCAGGGTGCCACGCCTTCCACGGGTGATTTGTGGGGCTGCTGTCACTAATGACCCGGTGGCTTAAACAACGGGAATCCCTTACCCCACAGTTCCAGAGTCCAGGGTCTGAAATCAAGGTGTTGGCAGAGCCCTGGTCCCTCCGAAGGCTCCGGGGTGGTGGTCCCTGGTCTTTTTGGCACCAGGGACCGGTTTCCTGGATGACAGTGTTTTCCAGGAACAGAGGTGGGAGATGGCTTTGGGATGAAAGTGTTCCACCTCAGGTCATCAGACGGTGGATTCCCACAAGGACTGAGCAACCTAGATCCCTCATTTGCGCAATTCACAGTAGGGCCCACGCTCCCACAGGAATCCAGTGCCACCAAGGATCTGACGGGACGTGGAACTCAGGCGGAAATGCCCACTCGCCCGTCCGCTTACCTCCATCATCCCTTACCTCTGTGCAATCCAGGTCCTAACTGGCCAGGGACCAGCGCCGATCCACAGCCCGGGTGTTGGCGACCCTGCACTAGGGGGTCCTTTCTTGCCTCTTGCATCTTCTGGGGACCCCAGGTGTTCCTTGGCTTGTGGCTGCATCATTCCAACCTTTGCTTCTGTCTTCCTGCGGCCTCCTCCTGTCCTCCCTGGGGGCCTATATCCTCCTGGCCCTCAGGAGGGATGACATTGGCTGCCAGGTCCACCCTACATTCAGAGTCGTCTCATCTTAAGATTCTTTTTTTTTTTTTTTTTTTTAGAGGCAGGGTCTGGCTCTGTCGCCCAGGCTGGAGTGCAAAGCCGTAATCTCGGCTCACTGCAGCCTCGATGTCCCAGGCTCAGGTGACCCTCCCACCTCAGCCTCCCTAGTAGCTGGGACTGCAGGTATGCACACCACCTTGCCTAGCTAATTTTTTCAATTTTTCATAGAGACAAGGTCTTGCCATGTTGTCCAGCCTGGTCTTAAACCCCTGGGCTCAAGCCATCCTCCCACCTCTGCCTCCCAAAGTGCTGAAATTACAGGTGTGAGCCACTGTGCCTGGCCCACACACTTTTTCCAGATAAGGTCACATTCCTGGGAGCTGGGCTTTCAGACGTGAGCACTTTTGGTGAGCCTCACTTCACCCAGGACAGTCCTCCAGACCAAATGTCTGGTTCTTCATTGATGTTTTCCAAATGCTACCTCCTTACTTGCTGACCAAGTAAGCGATGGAGAGGGAAACCCACCTCTGCTCCTGCCTCTGGGAAAGTCTCGCCTCCTTGGCCTCTGGTTCCCATCTCCAGAAGAAGCTTTTGGGTCTCCCAAGCTGTGACTTGCTGTCACTGTGGAATGGGTTTTCGTCCTGCACAGGAAGATATGGGGATGACGTACGCGGAGCTCTCGGTCTACGGGAAGCTCAGGAAGGTGGCCAAGATGGGGCCCTACGGCATGTTCTGCAAACTCCTCGGCATGTGGAGGCACATCTGGACCCCGAGACAGGTAAGGCCCGTGCGACGCATCACAGAGGGAAGCCATAGGTAATGTCCTCTTTCCCGAGGCCAGTTTGACCTGTAGGAACAAGTAGATACGGTGTGACCCTAACATAATAAAACCGTGTCTCACACAGTGACACTTTCCACTTTGTTTTTTGAGACTGAGTCTCACTCTGTCGCCAGGCTGGAGTGCAGTGGCGCGATCTCGGCTCACTGCAGCCTCCACCTCCCGGGTTCAAGCAATTCTTCTGCCTCAGCCTCCCGAATAGCTGGGACTATAGGAGTGCTCCCCCACACCCAGCTAATTTTTGTATTTTTAGTAGAGACGGGGTTTCGCCATGTTGGCCAGGATGGTTTCAATCTCTTGACCTCGTGATCCACCCGCTCAGCCTCGCAAATTGCTGGGATTACAGGCGTGAGCCACCGCGCCCGGCCCTTTCCACTTATTTTTACCAGTTCTGATCTTCTGTTGGCCCAAAGTTGATCTGAGTGGGGCTCATCCACAGCCAGGTAAACACGACATGAAACAAGCCCTCCCTTTTTTTGAAGGCAGAATGTAAACTTCAGGGTCAGAATAGTATTGCTTTTCTACTAGCTGTGAGTCTCTCCGGGACTGAAGCCCATAAGCCTGGTGGTCCCATGGAATCTCCTGGAAGCCTCGTGAAATAAATCTTCGTGGGATGTATCTCACATCTCCTGAGGCAGCATGCCATAGCATCAGAAGCAGGGGGACCCCGGTTTCACAGCTCAGCCAGCGCCCCTGGCGTGAGCATGGGCATGCCCCACGTCCGCCATCCGGGAAGGTCCTGTGCGGGGAGTAGCCCATGAACTGTTGGCTTGTGTGGTCCAGCAAGGGAAATCCGTCCCGGGGCCTTTCCAGCTCTGCGAACACGAAGCTCGTGTGTTGCCACACCCACCAGGTCGCCGACAAAGTGAAGCGTTTTTTCTCCAAGTACTCCATGAACAGGCACAAGATGACCACGCTCACACCCGCGTACCATGCCGAAAACTACAGCCCCGATGACAACAGGTTTGATCTGCGACCGTTTCTGTACAACACGGGCTGGCCATGGCAGTTCCGGCACATAGAAAACCAGGTAGGTCCAGCAGAAATGTTTCTTTCTCCGTGTTTCATGTCCGTAAAAGGAACACAAGGTTATTTCCATTAAGGATTGAAAAGCTTTCTTGTATACTCAGTGGCATTGTTTACTGTCCTCATTCCTGCAGAGGGACACATACGTTTAAAGTGGTTTTTGTCTCTTAAATGTACTTCTTTTTATGCTGACAAGTAAAAGTTCTATGTATTGACGGTGTACAACATGACGTTTTGATATGTGCCTCACAGTGGAGTGGCTCAGCCCAGCCATTTCACGGGTACATGCCTTACCCCACGTGCTTATTATTTGTGTGTGGTGAGAGCACTTAAAATCCACTCTCTTGGCCGAGTGCGGTGGCTTACACCTGTAATCCCAGCACTTTGGGAGGCCGAGGCAGGCGGATCACACGGTCAAGAGATTCAGACCATCATCCTGGCCAACATGGTGAAACCCCGTCTCTACTAAAAATCCTTTTTTCTTATTAATTACCCATAGAATCAAGGAAGGACTAATACAGTCAATGAAAAAGGATAGGTCCTTCCTTTTTCCAAAGCCAGGCGGGAGCCACGACAGAGCAGGGTGGCCGTGGCCTCCCCAGCGCAGGGGATCATCTGATGAGAGGGGAGAGCCGGCCGATGAGCCAGTCAACAGTGTGAATTGTGGGCCAGGTGCAGCTCACGCCTGTCGTCCCGGCACTTCAGGAGGATCACTTGACCCCAGGAGTTGGAGACCAGTCTGAGCAACGTGGTAAAACCCTGTCTCTACAAAAGATACGACAGTTAGCCAGACATGGTGGTGCACACCTGTGCTTCCAGCTACTTGGGAGGCTGAGGGGGGAGAATCACCTGAGCCGAGGAGGTAGAGGCTGCAGTGAGCTGTGATCATGCCACTGCACTTCAGCCTAGGCGACAGAGCCAGAGCCTGTCTCAAAACAAAATTTAAAATTCAAAAACAATGATAAATCCTGAGGAGTGTACCCTGAGGATGCCTGGTGTCCTTCCGGCACCTGTGAGACCAGAGCACAGTGTGACTGCAGCACAGGACGATGAGTGCACGGCAGAGACGCACACACGTGCTGTACGACCACAGAGTTGTGACCTTCTTACAGGAAGTCTTCAACTCTCCCCGAAGGACACGAGGAAAACCCTGCCTATGCTGAACTAGAGGATGCGAGGTGCTGCTTTGTACCTCGTGGCTGGTGACAGCATCTGTGAGCAGGTGGCATGTAAAACGAGGGTGGATCAGTGGCAGGGGTTCTACATCATCTGCGACCGTTAGCCTTCTGGGGGGACATTAGGCAATGACCCAAGATAATTTTGGTTCTCATGACTGGGCTGAGGTCTGTGCTCCCAGCATCCCGTGGGTGGAGCCCAGGGGTGCTGCTGAACGTCCTACCATGTACAGGACGGGCCCATCCCAACCCCGCGCCCGGCAGAGAATTCTCTGTTCTGCGTGTTGGTGGTGCGAGGCTGAGGAATGCTGACATCTGGGGCTGGAAGGTGTTTGGGGCCGCATGGTTGTAAGGAGGAGATACTGCGTCTGGCTGATTTCCATGGAATGGAACTTACTGGAAGAGTGACTTAGAGGGTGGAAGGGAGGGCAGGGGTCGCAGGGGCTGGAAAGCTATGACAGGCCAGCCGGCTGCTACCCTGTGTCCCCTGCTGTGGCTGGATGGAGCCTATGTGCCACACCCTGCCTGGGCTGGATGCCAACCTGCTCTGCCATCCCTGAGTCCCAGTGTCCCTGGGTCACAGGGCAACAAAGTGGCCAAGCCTCAGGTGACGGGCCCTGTCATTCGGCTACCTGGGGCAGGGAGGGAGCTGCCCCAGCTCCGGGCCCTGTAGTAGGAGGTGGGGCTTGGCTCCCACCAAGATGCACTTAGGGGTGGGCTCCCCCAGGTCGGGAAGGGGGTTCAGGGGCTGTGCAGGCAAAAGAGTGACGCACGTGGGAACAACAGAGATACCGCAGGTAAAGGTGGAAACGCTGCCCTGCCGTCATCTGCGGGGACTGCTGGGCCTGTGCTGGACCTGCCCCTCCGGGCTTTTCTGGCGCACACTCCCAGCATCCTGTGGGGACTCTGGTAATTTGCTTTTTCACCTCTGGGACTTGTGACCCACTTTTGGTGTGTGCCAGTGTTTCAGCAGCCCCACAGTCTGTCTTCGTGGGACTGTGGCGTCACAGGCCTGTCTTTCCAGGTGCTGCAGCTCGAGAGGGCGGAGCCACGGTCCCTGGATGGCGTGGACTGAGGCCGGTTCCTTCCTGGAGGCCTCCTCTCCTTGGGGACCCCAACGCCACATCATCAGCATCGCTGGGACCAAGGGAAGGAGCCTGCGGTAGGAGCCCAGAACGGCATGGCGCATCAGTCGAGAAAGAGGGAACTTTTCAGTCGAATTCCTCCAAAAGAGGCTGGAATAAAGCCTGGGCTTAAAAGGAGGCCGGAATCTGTGCATGTGATTTTGACCTCCCGCCACTGTGCGCTTTCCCACGAGCTCCAGCACAGAAGCCGCCTGGCAGGAGGGGCCCCACCGCCGCCCTGTGTGGCATCTTTGCTACGGGAACAAGAACGGTGGCTCCTGGGCAGGGAGGGGTGTCATGAGCAGAAAATGAAGGAGAGAAGGAAGACATCCTCTCCCACCCACATCAATTTTCCTGTCCTGGATTCCAGAAGGTTCTGGGGAGATGGTCCCCACAGAGCTTTCTTACTGGGAGTCTGGGAACCAGTCGGCCTTACTCCTGTCCTGTGGGAGAACCATGCCATCTGGGCATGGGGGCAGGTGTGGGGCGGGGGCTGGGCCCTCTGGTTCCCCCATCCTGCTGGGCTTCATGCCGTTCTGGGCACCTTTGTCTGTTTATGGAATAGGGTGAGGAGCGACTCTTCCATCCTCGCCAGAGCTCCCCTTGGTCCCTGAACCCTCTCTCCAGGGTAGCCCCAGGGAGTCTCAGCCTCCCATCCTCTGAGGGTGAAGATGAGATGAAGATGGGGGCACACGCTAGAACCTCCAGGAGGGTGGAGTGGGTTTGGGCCTGTGCTGCCTGTTGGGTGTCTGCCCTTACCCTCCCAGCGCCTGGCCCCTCTGCCTAGGGCACTCCTGCTTCCCAGCCTCACCTAGAACCCCACACCAAACCCAGGACCCGGGCTGAGTCGCAGGCCACAGCCGAGGGTGAATTTCCCAGGGAGCAACTGGGGGCCCTGGGTTGGGGTGAGGGAGTGATACTCCCACCCTGCCACCTCTGCGGGTCTGTGCGTGGCCTTTCTCCCCATCCCTGCTCTGTCTCCTCTCACTGTCCCTCTTTCCCTAAGCCAGGGCTGTAGATTTGCGTTGGTCCTGGGCAACCAGGAAGCTTTCCAAATATAATGTGCCTGGGGCTGAGGGGGCCCCTGTCCCTCCCTGTGTGCTGCCACTGGGGACAACCCCTGGGGGTGGCTTCCAGAGGCCTCCTTGATCGATCCTGGTCTCACTGTCTCTAAGTCATAGCAGCACCAAGTGGCATGACAGCAGGAAGTGGGGGGTGCTCGGCAGGTGCTGTCGGGGTAATGGGAAGTGGGGGGCGCTCGGCAGGTGCTGTCAGGGTAGTAGGAAGTGGGGGGCACTCTGCAGGTGCTGTCGGGACAGCAGGAAGTGGGGGCACTCGGCAGGTGCTGTCGGGGTAGTAGGAAGTGAGGGGCACTCTGCAGGTGCTGTCGGGACAGCAGGAAGTGGGGGCACTCGGCAGGTGCTGTCGGGGTAGCCAGAAGTGGGGGGCACTCGGCAGGTGCTGTCGGGCTGAGTGGTCACCACCATCGTTGTCTTCTCCATCACTTTATCCAGAGTCTGTTGCCCACATCACACTGTGGACGCCCCTGTCCAGATAGGTCTGAGGGCACTGGGGTGGCTGGCACCCCACACCTTCTCGGGGAGCACCCAGCAGGAGACCTGAGATTCTCCTTAGGCCTTGGATGGGAGCTGGAGGCTTCTGAACTCCTGCACCCCAGATGTGTGGCAACAGGGTCGGGAGTGTGTCCCTGAAAGATGATGAAGTGAGGCTGGGACCCTGAAGACAGCCCTATCCGGTGGAATTCTCCTCGGAGGCCCCGAAACTCCCCACCTGCAGGAGCTGAGCTCGGGGGCACCAGATCCTGGCCCCTAACCTTCAAGTTACAGGGTGGTACCCCCCAGGTGCAGGGCAGTGTCCCCAGTTACAGGATACTGTTCCCCAGTTGTAGATTAGTATCTTCTGGTTACAGAATAGCATCCCCTCAGTTATAAGGGCAATGTTCCCCCAGTCATAGCATAGTGTACCCCCAAGTTACAGGGTAGTATATCCCAGTTATAAGGCAATCATCCCCTATTATAGTCTCTTCCAGTATAGGGTGACGTCTCCCAGTTATAGGGTGATGTTCCCTGAGTTATAGGGTGATGTCCCCCCAGTTATAGGGTGATGTCCCCCCAGTTACAGAGTGATGTCCCACAGTTATAGGGTGATGTCCCACAGTTATAGGGTGATGTCCCACAGTTATAGGGTGATGTCCCCCCGGTTATAGGGTGATGTCCCACAGTTATAGGGTGATGTCCCCCCGGTTATAGGATGATGTCCCCCCAGTTGTAGAGTGATATCCCCCAGTTACTGGGCAGTGTCCCCTCATAGTGTCTTCCAGTTATACATCCCCTTGTTATAAGGTAGTATCCTCAGTTACTAGGTAGTGTCCCTCAGTAACAAGATAGTGTCCCCCAATTACAGGATAGTGTCCCCTAGTTATAGGTTACTTTCCTCCAGTTACAGGGCAATGTCCCCCCAGTTACTGGGTTTGCAGAACAAGGAAAAAAGATGTCCCGCAGTTACTCTCCAGCGTCCCCCAGTAACAGGATAGTGTCTCCCAGTAACAAGACAAAGTCCCCCATCATAGTGTCCCCAGTTAAAACCTAGTGTCCCCCGGTGGCAGGATAGCCTACTACCAAGTCCTCCTAAGTGGGACTCATCTGGCCAGAGTCCAGCTGAGGTTAGGACAGGGAAGTGACCTTCAGTTTTGGGGAAGGGACCAGAGCTCAGCCAGTGAGAAGCTGCCAGCTCCGTCTAGCCATATCCAGGTTGCTGAGGGTCCCTGGCCCTGTCCTTAAACCTCATCACTGACATGACCCAGCCAACCTCCTCAAGAGGAAAACATCCCCTCAGGTCAAACCCAGCTTGTTCAGGTCTCAGGGACCTCCTCCTCCCATCCTGGGGACACTGTGGAGAACAGATGCGCCGGAGACTTTCTCCTCTCCTCTGCCTTTTGGCTAAAACATTTCACTCAAAGGCAGATGCAGCCTGAGGGCAGCACAGGGGACCCCAAGGTTCACTGTGCATTTGTAGTTGATTGATACCAAGCGTGTGGGTTTTCCTCCTGTTCCCATCATGGGTGCCTTTGCTCAGCCCCATCCGACCAGCTTCCTGCAGCATCCACCCAAAAGGTTCTCCCATCCCAGCCAGAAGCAGCCTCAGACAGTACACGATGAACAGGCCTGGCTGTGTTCCCGTGAAACCTCCGGCTGGACACTGTTCATAACGGGGGCACATTCCCCTCCCCTTCCCAATCCTTTAGCACTCTGGGACAGTGATTCTCAGACACTTTGGTGTCAAGACCCCAGAGCATTTGCTTCTGTGGCTGATATCTGCTGAGATTTGCTACCTTAGAAATTAAAACTGAGAAATCTAAAATTAGATTTAATGGAGTCACTTAAAAATAATAAGCCCATTGCATGTTAACATCAAGTAGCATATTTTTGTGAGAAAATAAATTTTCTAAAAACAAATCTAAGTGAGAAGAGTGGCATTGTTTTCCTTGTTCTGCAAAATCTTTTCAGTGCCCGGCTTATGACGTGACGGCACTTTTGCTGCCAGCCATTGGTGTCTACAGAAGACCTTTTCCAATAATTAGCTGGGGCTGATGCTAGAGCAATACCAGAAGGTCAGCGACGTCTGTAGACCTGTCCAAATGTGTGTTTACTGGGTTTTTATGTTTGCAGTTAAATCTTCAATTAGGTGAGTTATTTTGTTATCGCAAAGTGGTTTCTTTTATTGACTTATCCGGCAGGCATTCAGCAACATCAACTCGACATATGAAGTAAGGAGTTGAATTAAGCAGAGTAGTTAATGACGTGAGAAACACCTTCAGTGTTTACTTGAAATAAATAAGGGATGTTTAGGCAAAGTAGACGCTCAGAACTGCGTAGGAGAGGGTACCAGTATCTAGAGCTCCTGCAATAGATTACCTGAAATGTCCACTTTTCAACAAAAAACTTGAGACCATTTAGTCTGTTTTCACACTGCTATAAAGAACTGCCTGAGACTGGGTAATTTATCAAGGAAAGAGGTTGAATTGCCTTATGGTTCAGCAAGGCAGGGGAGGCCTCAGGAAACTTTCAGCCATGGTAGAAGGTGAAGGGGAAGCAAGACACCTTTTTCACAGGGTGGCAGGAAGGAGCTGTGCCAGGCAAAGGAGGGAGAGCTCCTTATAAAACCAGCAGCTATCGTGAGAACTCACAATCAGGAGAACCAAGCACAGCACGGGGCAAACAGCCCCCATGATTCAGTTACCTCCACCTGGTCTCTCCCTTGATACTTGGGCGTTATGGGGATTACATTTCAAGAAGAGATTTGGGTGGAGACACAAAGCCTAACCATATCAACTGCCTGCCAGAGATATAAGATGTTGGCTTTAATAGGCAAAGACTTCAAAGTAACTGTTATAAACAGGTTCAAAGGACTAAAGGAAGCCAGGATTAAAGAAGCAAAGGATGATGTGATGACAATATCCCACCAAATAGAGAATACCAATAAACAGAAATGATTCGCAAAGAAACAAGTGGGTATCCTGGAGTTGAGAATACAGCACCTAAAATGTACACAAGAAACATTCACAAGAAGCGTTCAACAGTACATTTGAACTGGCAGAAGGAAGAATCACCAAACTCGAAGATGGAGTGAGTGATTACACAATCTGAAGAACAGAGAGAAAAAAAGAATGAAGAAAAATGAAAAAAGCCCCAGAGAAATCTGGGAGGCCATAAATCACAACAACATACATGTCATGGGAGCCCCAGGGGGAGAGGGAGAGGGGAAGGAGCAAAAGGATTGCTGGAAGAAATAATGGCCGCAGACTTCCCAGTTTTATGGCAAGACGGTGACCTACGCATCCAGGAAGCTCAGTGAACTCCAGGAATCTCTTCACTTACAGAAGTCAAAGCCAAGCCACGGGGCAACGGAGGGCTTCACAGGTGAGCTGTCTCTTAACCAGGATCTCTCCCAAGTGGCCTGAATCTAACCCTGAATCTGGGGCTAGAGCTCTCACTAGCCATCTTAGTAACTGGCTTCCATCAAATACTTACCTCCAAAAATTCAGCTGACCATGTGTTTTTATGTGATTCCTGCAGACCATTAAAGTGCAATGATTCTGTAAACTTGTGGTAATA